GAGCGGGAGATCTGAGGGGGTGAGGGGAAAAGGAACTGATGGTCCCTGGGGAGTTGAGAAGTAAGGAGATAAGAATAGGGAGGCGATGGGGCCTGGATGATGGTATTGGTGGGCATAGTCGAATTTTTGGGAAGGGGATTTGGATGGGAAGGGCTGAGGTAGGGAGTAGTGATGGACCGAGGTGAGCGGATGGTGAAGGATAAGGATGGCCTGAAGCTGATCTTGGGATAACAGCTGAAGCCTGAATAGGGATAATAGCAGCCAGTAGAAGCCACAGCCCTTGCAGTGATGGTTTGCAGGGGAAGCATTGCCCTCTTTGCTTCTCTCTCTTTGGGTGGCCCAGCATTCTTCATGCAGARCGTGCTTTTAACATCCCCTTTTCCCTTCCCCAGGATGGGAATCCATGGCTTGGCCAAGCTTATTGCTGATGTGGCTCCTGGGGCCATCCGGGAGAATGACATCAAGTCCTACTTTGGCCGGAAAGTGGCCATCGACGCCTCCATGAGCATCTACCAATTCCTGATTGCCGTGCGGCAGGGAGCTGATGTGCTCCAGAACGAGGAYGGGGAAACCACCAGCCACCTCATGGGAATGTTCTACCGCACCATCCGCATGGTGGAGAACGGCATCAAGCCGGTGTATGTGTTCGATGGGAAGCCCCCGCAGCTGAAATCCGGGGAGCTGGCGAAGCGCACGGAGCGTCGGGCTGAGGCGGAGAGGCACCTGCAGGAAGCGCAGGAGGCTGGGGAGGAGGAGAATATTGAGAAGTACAGCAAGAGGCTGGTCAAGGTGACCCCACARCACACGCAGGAGTGCAAGAAGCTGCTGACACTGATGGGAATTCCCTACGTGGAGGCACCGGGAGAGGCGGAGGCCAGCTGTGCCGCGCTGGTGAAGGCTGGGAAGGTGTACGCCGCCGCCACGGAGGACATGGATTGCCTCACCTTCGGCAGCCCCGTGTTGATGCGGCACCTGACAGCCAGYGAGACCAAGAAGCTGCCCATCCAGGAGTTCCATCTGAACCGGATCCTGCAGGATCTGCAGCTGACCTGGGAGCAGTTTGTGGACCTGTGCATCCTGCTGGGCTGCGACTACTGTGCCAGCATCCGCGGCATTGGGCCGAAGCGTGCTGTGGAGCTCATCCGGGAGCACAAATCCATCGAGAGGATTGTGCAGCAGCTCGACACCAAGAAGTACCCCTTGCCTGAGAAYTGGCTGCACCGGGAGGCTCAGAAGCTCTTCCTGGAGCCTGAYGTGATTGATCCCGATGCCGTGGAGCTGAAGTGGAGCGAGCCGGACGAGGAGCAGCTGGTGCAGTTCATGTGCGGGGAGAAGCAGTTCAATGAGGAGCGCATCCGGAACGGCGTCAGGAGGCTGAGCAAGAGCCGCCAGGGGAGCACCCAGGGCCGGCTCGATGACTTCTTCAARGTCACAGGATCCATCACCTCAGCCAAGCGCAAGGAGCCAGAGCCCAAGGGAGCGGCTAAGAAGAAAGCCAAGTCCAACAGTGCCACAGCCGCAAAGACTAAAAGGGCAAAGTAACCAGATTGGGCACCTGCAAACATCTAGGACTGGGTTTTTTTGGGGCATAATGAGGAATTTTAGACTAATGACAGACAGTTGTGTGTGACTGCTGCATGCTAGTGCTGGGAAGGAACAGGTGAGGCCAGGAGTGGAACAGTTTCTGGGCACAAACACGCCCAAATTTCAGAATTTCATAGTTGAACAGTTGCAGAGCAGACTCAGGACAAACTAGATTTCATCCCAACCCCAGCCATCATGAAAGAGGGAGATGYAAGCAGAAACTGGGAAGATAGTAGTAGAATACAAGCTGGAATTGGAAAGGAGRCTTCAAGTAGTGAGGTAAAATTCTCCCTTCAGAGAGTTTATTAAGGTTTTTCCTTCCCTTTTCTTGGTCACTCTCCTTGTTTAAAACCCTGTTGTGATCTCAATTCCAGCAATGTCSTGGCCCGCTTTTAGTGCATAATCCAAGGAAAGTGGAGCCCAGACTGCAGCTCTCCCAGCTGGAAATTTGCTTAGAAATGCTTAAAAATAAAAATATCCATAYGCCTAGAACTGCAGCCTCTTCAGTYACTGAATTCCAGAGGCAYKTTTCCGTTTTGTACGCACTTACAGGTCCCAGGATGAGAATGAAAACTTCTTAGTTCTTATTTTATTCTGTATTTTCTACAGTTTTTTGCTTGTCAGAACCACAGGAGGGATTTTGTTTCCAGAATAAAATTTAAACACAACAATACTGTTTCTGTTTCTCTGGAGAAGTGGCTTAAACCATGCTTTTAAATTAAAATSCCAGTTTTAGAGGGAATTCTGTAACAGCCAACAAACCAAGCGCACTCTGGGACTCTGAGAATTCCAAGTTTAAGATCTTTGGATGCTTCGTAGACATCAAAAATCCATGTGTCTGCTCTTTGACAATTTGGAAAATAAGCTGGCTTTTTTTGTGGGGAAATTAATACTTATTTAATATTTATTATCCATTAATATTTCTAAAATTGGGATTTTTGTTTCCTTGCTTTGGATTCTCTTTATTCAGAAACTCCTGAGGAAAAAATAATTATGGATTGACACATTTAGGTATTCRTTGTTTATCTCCAAATATCTTCATAGGTGCAGGAATGGTTTTGTGGTAGAGGGGTAAAAAATGATTTAAAAATAGTAATATTTGGAAATAAGTCTGGGTAATTTACCAATTCAGGGGCAAAATCTGATAAGCAGTATATCCCTAAATTGTTTATTTTTCTTATATTAGATTTTAGGAATTATCTTGATTTTCCCAGTGTCACCAACTTTTTAGGATAAAACCTTGGCAGAGAACTCTAAAAGCTGCTTTTCCACCATGTTGTGGTTTGAATGAATTYAATGGGAGCAAAAAGCTAACCTAGGACACACCACCCCCTCCCTGCCTGATGCTTCATGATATTTCACTCTGTTTTTCCTCCATTTCTCATTTTAAACAAAGATTCCCACTGCTTCTGACAAACTATTAATGAATTCTGGTACCACTCTTTCTCCTGGGAGCAAGTGCTATGGAAAGCYAGGGACCCAGCAGAGCTGATCAGAGAGGGCACAGGGGATTTGGAGGTCACAGGGTTAGCAGGTATGGATGATCTCCCCTCCGGGAAACAGAGATACTTTAATTCATTGTCCTCTTTTCTACCTCTTAGTTTTAATTAAATGAATTTTCAGCTTCTTCATCCCAGTTTTCTGGCTGGCTGGACCATGACCCATGTGTTACCCACAGCATTCCCATCCTGAATCCAAATGCAATATGTGCCAGCTCCTGGAAAGAAAGGAACCCTATCCCATCTGAAACCAGAACAGTGGGAGCTCTCAGCTTTCGGGGAAACCCCTAATTTATTTACCACAAAGAAAGCTATGGAGTGTGCCAGCTGCTGCCATGAGCTGCATCCTGAYGCGTGACAACCATCTCCCGAGAGCTCCCTGGAAAATGGGGTGYGCCTTTTCCCGCTGGAGTCTCTTGTCCAGCAGTGCCCGGAGCGTCTTGTTCTGTGGCACTGCTGCAGTGTCCTGCGAGCCGTGCACTGGGCACCAGTAGCTCCAAGACACTTCCTGCTTGGCCACTCGCTCCTGGGAACACTTTGTTAGAATGGTCCAGGCTCCTGGTTGCATTTTCCTGGCCGTGGGTTTCTTGTGGGTTCCCTGGATACCCAYGGCTCCAAGGCAGCAGAGAGACCTGTCCACATGGGCTCCTCCATCTGGAGTCGAGCCGATCTCATGGAGGCTCTGGCAGGGATGGACATCTTTGCTGGAAATAGCCAAAGTGTGGAGATCCTCCTTAACCTTCTCCTTCACAGCCAGCTCCAGGGAGCACCCTGGACATGAGAACAGGTGCCTTTGCCGCTGGAGCCTCTTGTCCAGCAGCATGCGGAGAGTCTTCTGAGATGGCTCCACCGCAGGATCCTGGCAGCCATGGATTGGGCACTGGTGGCTGCAGGTGGCTTCCGCTTGCGTCTTAACAGGAAGAGCCCAGGTTCCAACTGGAGCACAACACAAATTACAGAGGGTCTTGGCAGGAGTGGAGGAGCCTTTCCAAGGGAAGGACATTCTTGGAAGGGTGGAGGATCTCAACCAGCGTCGTGTTCTGCGGAGGACTGAGCCTTTTCCTGTAACAGGTGTTTTCCGACGGGTGGAGAATCTTGGRCACCGGCTCCTGAAGGGCTGGAGGCTCCCGGAGGAGCAGGAGGAGGTGCAGCAGGGCAGGTGGCCTCGTTCCAGCAGCTGCTCCAGGTCCTCCCACGACAGCCGCCACATCTCTGAGTCCTGTGGGAAGGACATCCCDGGCCACAGCGAGGTCACCAGGTCCTGCAGCTCCTGGGCCGCTGTCGCACAGGGGGTGCAGCAAGGGCTGCAGCCGCAGGGGATGTACAGGCGGCTGCCGGGGGCAGCGGGGCCGTGGGGAGGGGTCTCCACTGGGGCTGCTCGGCTGCACTGGAATCCCGTGGCCTGGTTCCTGGGGTGCTTCCATGTCCAAATGCGCTTGGCCAGCAGGACGGCCGTAGTGCCCGCCAGCACAAGTGTGGGGAGCAGGAAACTCATGGCTTCACCCACATCCCATGGTGGCTGCACTGGGAGCCAGGGAGTGATGATAGGAGTCCTGTAGAGACACGGTGCTGATGTCACAGTGCTGCAGGCGAGGACACCTGTGTGATGTCACAGCCCTGCCTCACCCTAGTGCTCACACCCTCAGGTCACCCCAGTGCTTCAGGCAGGGAGAGGGGCTCCATGTGGGCACTGGTGGCCCCTCTGGACAGAACACATGGAAGAATCTCAGCCAAGTAGGACACAGCGATGAGGGGRATGATGGTGTCACCTCCTGCCTGACAGAGCTGGGTACATGCATTGTCCCACRCATGGGACACTGCAAAGTGCTTGAAGAGGGCRAGCTTTTCTCAGCAATCACCACACACACCATCTCTGTGTTAGCCACAGCATTCYCATCCTGAATCCAAACCCAGGRCTGTGCCRCCTACTGCGAAGAAAATCCCRTGTATCCTACAAAAGCAAGCAACCAAACCACTGAGGCGGAGAAGGGAAAGTTTTCTGTGGAGTGTGTTGGTATTGGAGAGCTACACTGAGATGGGAGAGGGGAAGGGAGAGAGGGGCAGACTGGGAACCTGGGACATCCCACAGGGCACAGGGCAAGAATGTCATCTCCAGTGGAGCACCAGCCCTCCCACACCTGCTCTGGAACTGCCACACAGTTCTAGTTTATCTGTGTGGTCACAGAAGGACCTGAAGGGGTGGCACCATCACTATGGGTTGAGGATGGGATTGTCCTGGCTGACTGGTTTGATGTCTTGGATAAAATCACATGTCCTGGAGATGATGGAAGGTCGTGGATGCTGTTTTTCGGGGTGTTAGGATGAGTTTGGATCGAATCCCTCACATCTCCTTCTGGAGACAGTGACCATAAAAACAGAATGGTTTGGGTGGGAAGGGTCCATCTGGGAGCAGGACCAGGCTGCAGGACTGGCTGGACAAGGCCCAGTGGGAGTAGGGAATGAGGCTGCACCTGTCTGGAGCGCAGTTGGGACCCAGCTGGCAGTTGCTGGTGACTCCCAGCCAGAGATGGAGTCATGGAATCGAGATTAGAATCATTTCCCCCTTGACTGCAACCTTTGGTGACACAGATGGGACCCCAGGCCACTATCTCCAGAATTCAGGGGGAAATCCTGGTGGCCTCAGGCTAATGGTAATTGGGATTGTAGTACTTAAAATGAGCTAATTGCATCTGATTTATGCCATGAGAGCTTGTGAGGAGATCAGAACTGATTGAACTGAAGCCACAGCAATGTGGCCAAAGGAAGAACCCTCTGGCTGCTGGGAAAAGGCTTTGTTGATGTCCAGGGAAGTTTGGGTGAAGCTGTTTTTGTGTGTGGTGGTGGGGAAGAGAAGGAGAGGAGTTGAGCTCACAGAATTAAGCAGGAAGGAAGACAGAAGGGGTGTGAGCTGTGTTTTCTCCCAGAGACATGCAGACACAGGGACATGCTGCAACGGCACTTTATTGGTCCATGGCGAGGTCCAGGGTGTCTTGGTGGTATCAGTAGGTGCTGAAGACGGCCTGGATGTGCTCCCCATCGTGTGGCTTGTAGCTGCCCACCCCTGAAGCAGAGGGATGTATGAGGTTGGGACATGGAGACCCCAGCCAAGTCTTCCCCTCCTCTCCAAGGCCCCCACCTTTATCAAGGGCATCCCCAGCACTGAGGAACTGCCAATAGGTCCTGTCATCTGTGCTGGCAGCCAGCCCGTGGATGGACACCACCATGGGGCCCCAGGATGTCATCTCTGTCTCGAAGCTGGTGGAGARGTGAGGAGGATCAGGCCTGGGCCAGGAGATGTCAAATCCCACCCCCAAATCCACTCTGGCTCTCACCTAAAGATTTGGGGGTTCTTCTCTGCTGCCACCTCCAGCACCTGCAGCAGCGTGGAGCCACTTGGGACTGTCACCGTGGTGGAGTATTGGAAGTGTTTTCCTTGGAGCGTGTTGGTGATGGAGTAATGCACCAGGATGGGAGCTGTGTAAGGGAGAGAGGGGCAAGGTGGGCACCTGGTGCACCCCCATGGGGCACAGGGCAGGAGCTTCATCCCTGCGGGGTCTGGGGAACTCTAGGTGGGATCAGCATACCTCTGGGAACGCCATGTGTCCCCAGTGTTGGGGACAAGAGCAGCTGTCGGCTTGGGGATACATCCTTTGTGGCACTGCAGTCCAGGCCAGCCACATCCAGGTAGGACCTGCCCACCAGGGCTGGCAGCACCTGGGCAATGGCCATGGGCTGCTGGTAGTCATGGCTAGACACCACGGAGAAAGCCTGGGCACAATCCCACTTCCGTGGGGCATAAAACTCCCTTGTGGCCTGCAGCGCCTGTGGAGCAGATGGGAGGTGGAACAACACATCTGGGAATGGGACCAGGTACTGTGACACCACACTCCCCTGTGACCTCCCCTACCTGCAGGGCCAGCCCCATGCTGTAGATATTCCCGATCATGCCATTCCCCTTCTCCTGCTCATCCAGAAGGCTGTTGCTCACTGTCCAAAATGCCTCCAGGAGCAGTTCCTGCACATCCTGCAGCTCCACATTGCTGTAGACACAGGCCAGCGCCAGCGCCACCATGGCACGGGTGTCTGTGGGATCCCAGAGTCACTGCAAAGCCCCCGGATAGACTCCAGGAGTGAGAATGTGGGAGCAGAGGGATCCCTTACCCAGGGAGAGTTGGCTCTCGGGGCTGAGCACCCGCTTGGCCAGSGCCACTGATGGCCCTTGGGCACCGCCTGCCTCAGCCAGGCACAGGGCCAGAGTGTCCAGGCTCATGCTGTACAGGGAAGTTTTGGGAATCCCCTCCGTCTCTGCAAAGCAAACAGTGGCAAGATGACAAGGTATGGGGACAGTGACACCGCCRGGCCCCCAATTCCCAACAAACCCAGTTGGGCCATCTCCTCATCTGTTTTCTGCTGCAGGACATGGATCAGGTCAATGCTTTGGTCCAGGGCATGGACACGCTGGGGGTCCTGGCAGGAGGAGAGRAGGGCGAGGACGTGCAGAGCCACTTGTCCTGAGGTCATGTCTGTGGGGACAAGAGGACAGCTGGGGWATGCTGGGCTGGGCACCCCAACAAGTGGTGGAAACCTGGTCCCCCAGGAGCAGGTGCTTTCCCTCCTTTCCCCTCCCTACCTTTGTGGGCTCTCTTCACTGCCTCCTCCTTGATCTCCTGGAGCAGCCACTTGAAGATGGGGCCATCTCTGTCCCCCCCRGCCAGGTTCATGGCCAGCAGGACGCTGGGATTTGCTGCTTCATGGAGATTGACAGATCCCTCCAAGCGCTGGAGCAGCTGGGAGACCAATTCCTGTGGGGCCACTGGAAGGACAGGGGAGGTCACCGGGATCTGTGTCCCATCTGTGGTCTCTCCCAGCTCTCCGTGGGTGGGTGACACTCACCACAGCCCTCGGTGGCTGTGCAGCCCAGCAGGGCCAGCAGGACCCCGATGCCCAAAGCCATGCCAAGCATCCTCTCAGAGCAAATTGACCCACTCAGAGTGGCAGAGTCCTGTGGGAATTCGGCTCTCTGGGCGTCCTCTCTGCTTTTAGCTGTTCCCAGTGTCCTTCTCTGGTCACCTGCTCTCCCACTGGCTCTGCCAAACACCGCAGGCTTATCTGTGTGTCCAGCAGGGGAGGAGGGATGGTGATTTTCCATTTAGGATYACTGGGAACCACTTGGACCAGTTCAGTATCCATGAGGCTGTGAGGTTAGAAGGGATTCATCCCAGTACATCCCAGAAGGGACCACCTCAATCATCTCCCCAAGGTCCTGGAAGCCCAAGGAGGTCCATGCYGGCTGGGTGCTCTCCAGCTGTATCTTGCTTTACAGGGAGGGCTTGAATTTTTTCCAAGAAACTCTAGCACTGCTAATCTAACCTCAATACCAGGAAAAAATGGTGGAGAAGGTCATACTGGGCACTACTGGGAAGGRATTCAAGGACAGTGTCTGCGTCAGGCACAGGCAGCTCAGGATAACGGAGGGAAATTCCTGTCTRACTGGTTTCTTACCTTGCTGCTGTAAGGTCACTCAGCTCATAGGTGATGGGAAGGCAGTGCCTGTTTTTAGGGATTGTAGAAGGAATTTTGGCCTTGTCCCTCACAGAATCCTTCTGGAGATGTCCAGCTGGACACAGGGTGTCCTGGCTGCTGCCCTGGTTTTGACAGGGATGGGGAATCTTCTCAGTAACTGGCACAGTGCTGGATTTGGATTCAGGATGGGAATGCTGCAGATAACACCCAGATGGTTTGGTGGCTGCTGAGCAAAGCTTGCCCTCCTCAAGCACTTTGCAGTGTCCCATGGGACAATCCAGGATGAGGGACCATCCTCGGGGACATTCCCTGTGCCTGGGGCAGCCGCCAGCCTGCAGGACAGGAGCTGGGGGAACTTTGGGGGCCTGCCCTGCTCTCCCTTTTTTGGGAGTATGTTTATGTGGGAAAGGCTTTATGGAAGCATAGAGCTGCTGGCCAGGGCACTTGGACTCGTTTTGTGCTTTTGGGAGGGGAGGAGAAACAGGGTGGGGGAATCCTAGAGGTGATGGTGCCATTAAGGACACCCCAGTGTGGTGGGAGATGTGGTGTAGGAAAAGGAAAGGTCTGGGTTAATGGGGTACCCGGGGTACTCGGCAACACATCCCCCATGTGGGGTAGGAAAAGGAAAGGTCTGGGTTAGTGGGAGGATGTTCCTGGAATCGAATTGGGATAGGTGCTGATCCTGTCATGGAATCATGGTGTRATTTGGCTTGGAAGGGACCACAAAGATATACATGCTTCTGTCTGACTCTSCAGGAGAGAATATCCAAAACTGCCTCCTCACCCTCATGGACATCAGGAGTGAAAGGAATGAGAAGGAAGTGTCTTTACAAACAAACTCTGACTYKGRGGGTAAGRTAAGGCTGATACTGGGAGACAGAAGGAAACAACAGGAAGGATTTCCATAGGAATTCCACTGATTGACTTACCCCAGACTATGTTAATAGACTACCAGAGCAGAGACACAGAGATGTATATTGAAAGGGGGCAATGTATGATAGAAGAGGGGGGTTTCATTAGGTGTTTTGGGGAGCCTGTACTTCTCAAGTACCTCAACCAATGGAGAAAGAGAGAGGGAATGGTCAGGAAATTGGGATAAAAAGAGGCTGCATCCTCTAGCAATTTGAGAGACCCCATGGGAAATGCCCATGACCTCTCCCTTTATTCATGAATAAAGTTGTGGGACACCTTTGTCTCCTTTTTGGACATAAGCCTCTGGTGCTTGTGGATTAATTTTCCTGACAATAGTAAGAATAGTGATTAAAGGGGGATGGGGGAGAGGGGGAGAGAGAGAACCCAAGAAAAAMAAGTGGTGCACAGTATATTACTCACCACCTGCTGACCAATGCTAAACCCACCCCCAAACCACAATCAGCCCCACTTTCAGGTAACTTTATCTAGTGGGCATGGTGTGAAATATCCCCTTGGCCAGTTTGGGTCAGCTGTCCTGGCCATGTCAAAATATCAGTGTGTTATTAGGATTACCCTCATACTAAATCCAGAATACATTCCTCTACAGCTACGAGGAAGAAAATGAAGTCAATGTCAGCCTAAAGCAGCGCAATATATTTATTAATATAATAAACCTCGTTGAGGTTTCCGCTGTTTGGCGGCGGGTGAGGCGCGGTGAGGGCCGGGCCGGCAGGGGGCGCTGTGAGCCCCCGCTCCGCGGCGGGAAAGGCTCGTGAGGGGACGGCGTGAGGGGACGGGGGGACTGTGGGACACCTGTGCTGATGGTGGAACAGCTGTGCCCTGGAGCCCCTGGGGTCCGCGGGGGTGAAGAGATCCACCCCTAGAGCCCGTGGGATCCACGGGGATGCAGAGATCCACCCACAACCCATGGGGATCCATAGGGGTGCAGAGATCCACCCCTAGAGCCCGTGGGATCCATAGGGGTGCGGAGATCCACCCACAGCCCATGGGATCCATAGGGGATGCAGAGATCCACCCACAGAGATCCATGGGGATGCAGAGATCCACCCACAGCCCGTGGAGATCCACGGGGATGCAGAGATCCACCCACAACCTGTGTGATCCACCGGGATGCAGAGATCCACCCACAGCCCATGGGATCCATGGGGATGCAGAGATCCACCCCTAGAGCCTGTGGGATCCATGGGGATGCAGAGATCCACCCACAGCCCATGGGATCCACGGGGATGCAGAGATCCACCCCTAGAGCCTGTGGGATCCATAGGGGTGTGGAGATCCACCCACAGCCCGTAGGATCCATGGGGATGCAGAGATCCACCCCTAGAGCCTGTAGGGTCCACGGGGGATGCAGAGATCCACCCACAGCCCATGGGATCCACGGGGATGCAGAGATCCACCCCTAGAGCCTGTGGGATCCATAGGGGTGCGGAGATACACCCACAGCCTGTGGGATCCATGGGGGATGCAGAGATCCACCCACAGAGATCCACGGGAATGCAGAGATCCACCCGCAGCCCGTGGGATCCACGGGGATGCAGAGATCCACCCGCAGAGATCCATGGGGGATGCAGAGATCCACCCCTAGAGCCCGTGGCATCCATGGGGATGTGGAGATCCACTCACAGCCCATGGGATCCATGGGGGATGCGGAGATCCACCCACAGCCCATGGGGATCCATGGGGGATGCAGAGATCCACCCACACCCCGTGGGATCCATGGGGGATGCAGAGATCCACCCACAGCCCGTGGGGCGGTGCCCACGCCGGAGCCGGTGGATGTCTGGAGGAGCCCGTGATCCAGTGGTAGATCCATGGGAGAGAGGGGGCCCTGTTTCCCGGTGGAGCTGCCTGTCCCTGGAGGACTGACCCCATGGACGAGTGACCCACCCCACTGCGTATTTGGGAGAACTGTTTGCCCGTGGGAGGAGCTCACGTTGCAGCGGTTTTAGGACGACTGCTCGTGAGATTTGATCACTGCAGGAATTCACGTGGGACCCCACAGGACCCCACGGAGCAGCAGGGGAAGGATTCCTCTCCCTCATTAGCAGAAGACCCCAGAACGAGCTGACCAAAACCTCAAGGGCCTGTCCCCTGCACTGTGTGTGGCAAGGAGGGAGGGGTTGGGGGGAAGAAAGCGTGTTTTTAAGGGTTATTTTACTTCTCATTATCTTCCTCTGTCTCTGTTCGTAAAAAATTCACTTTGCAACTTCAAGTTAAGCCTGCTTTGCCCTTTGAAGTGTTTCGTCCCGTTCCTTATCTCGACTCATGAATTCTTTGTTAATCTTTTYCCCCCTCTCCTCTGCCYAGCTGTGGTAGGGGASAGAGTGAGTKAGTAGCTGTTTTGAGTGCCTGGCGTCTGGCCAGAGTCCAACCACAACCACGACACATCTCCTGTCCAAGGTTGTAGTGACTGCTGCATACTGGCAGAAATCTTTTACACGTGTGACARAAGCAGAAAAGAAAAATGGGTGAAAATTCTAGAGCACTATCCTCGGTAAGAAAGTTCCATATATAGCAAAGGAGAGTTTTAGATTTCTGCTCAATTTTTTTTTCCTGTGTTACCTATAGATGCTACATGACATCTATCTATCATGTGCTTTTCTATCTATCTATGTGCTTTTTTTTCCCCACAAGCAGCTTAGTGCTTTGAGTAATCCTGTTGAGTTTGCAGATGTTGTATCCTAAATTTCCATCTTCACAATTCAGGCATGAATACTGGTATTAGTTTATTGCTAATGAATGTATATTAATATTTATATAGATAAATAACTCTATCAGAATGCTGGCATTAGTTTATCACAGTGTGTGTGTGATTAATGTATSTGTAGGTTAGATGGGTGCTGTTCTTTTAGACAAGGTGTTGGATACTGTCTGGAAATAAAACTAGAATTCATAAAACTAGGTTGGTTTCTGTGAGCCAATGTATTTCTGTCCTTGTCTCAAGCAGATCCTAAGAGATCTGCTAGGTCCTTAAATATTTTGCTTTAGGTTTTTTCAAATTTTTTATTTAGAATACTAAGTTCTTAGAGACTTGGCCCAGATGGAGATGCCCATGATTCTGAAATKAGTTACTATTGTGCAAAGTGCTGTGAAAAAATTAAGAAAAAGGAAAATTTGTGCTCAAATAAGAAATCATCTCCAAAGCTCAGCAGATTGCTGAATGTTAGAAAATGTTTGGGGAATTAAAAAAAAAATTAGTTTATGGAAAGTCCTTTTGAGACAGGAAGGCACTGAAGGTATTGCTGGATGCAAGAAAAAAGCAAAAGAGAAAGGCAAGTCCCCAACACACAGCTCCATGTTGAGGCTGAGGAAGCTGCAAACTGCGCTGTTCCTCATCCAGCACAGTTGGATGGGGGGAAGGAAATACGGGTTTGGGTGCACTGTTTCTCCTGAAATCCCCTTATCTGGCAGAAGGGGAGTGGGGCTTTTGTGCTAAGATTTTGGCAGACTACTTAGAATGAATCTGTGGAAAGAAACTAAATTTTTCTTTATGTTTCCCTGSTAGCAAGAGGTGCAAACACATGTGTTGCCACCTTC